CAAAGTGGGGAAAGTCAGGCAGAAAGAAACAGCGGGGGTGAGATGCACTTGGCAGTATGATAGGGACTCAGTCTCACACAGGGGCTCCCCGCTGCTAGCTTAACTTATGCGTAACATATTGGTACAGCCTTCTCCACACAAGAACATGCAGAGTTCTCTCATCTTACAGAGGAAACAGTTCAAGATCCTGGTCCTCACCTTCATAAGTCTCCAAGACCTTGCTCCACCCTACCACTGTGACCTCCTAACCCCCTAGAAACCTTCCACTCCCTCCACTTAGTGGGCTCCATCCTGCTTCATGTCCCCTGCCTTGCCTGCCTTACCATTGCCGGGCAGGCCTTCAACCACTCTGCCCTCTCCCTCTGGAACTCCATCCCACAGTCCCTCCGCCTCACCCCTTCCTTGCTTCCTTCAAGACCGTCTCAAGACCCTCCTTTTCGACCGTGCCTTCATCCTCCTACCTCTACCCTCCCTGCCCCTACCCCTCCTATCCCATCCGTCAGCTCGGGTGTAGATCCCTGATTTTCCAGCGCTTTGGGGCGTCCTCCTGAAATTACAAATGTAATTTGTTGTTAACGTGGAGGTTGAATGTGAAGGTGCCCTCAAGCCCTCAGTTCTGCTGTCATCAAATTTTCTTTCCGTTCCTGCCCGCTGGCAGCTAAATTAAGTCTAGAAAGCTAGTCACTGAACGCTAAAGCTTTAATAAAACAGAACAGCTTTATTGTGAGACTGAGGGATTTGGGGGTACAAATACATAAATCACTAAATGTAGGACAGCAGTTCTGAATTGCAGGAAGGGAAGAGAATATTGGAATGTTACAGCTCAGAAACAAGCCATTCGGCGTGTCAGGTCTGTGCTGGTGTTGTTTATGTGAACCATCTAATCTGATCGCACTTACTCCCTCTACCCTTTAATATTCCTCCTCTCCAAACATCTAGGAAATTAGGTCAAATTGTGAGAATGATTTAGAACACTGCAAGAAGACACATAAAATGAAACAGCACAGAAATAAGCCTTTCAGCCCAACTAGTCCGTGCCGGTGTTTATTCTACATGCGAGCCTCCTCCCCTCTGCCATATGCATCTTCAGCCTTCATACAATCTCATGTATGCATCAAATTCATCTTTGAGATAGTGTTGCTTTTTGGTTCATCCACAGCTTCCGTTTAGCGAGTTCCACATTCTCACTGCACCCCCCTCTCTGTGAAAGTTCCTCCTATATGACGATCTGTTACTGGCTCCCTTCTATTTGTGCTCCTTGATTTGCAGTCAAAGAACTAGTGGAAACAGCCTATTAAAATTCACCTTTTTTGAAACCCTTCATAATCTTACACATAATCAGAACCCCTCTCAATCATCCAATCGCTAGAGAGAATAGCTCCAATCTTTCCTGATAGTTGAATCCACTCATCCCTGGTAACGTCCTTGTTCATCTATATTGTACTGTTCTCCATTCCTAATATATTCTTTCTTTCATACGGCAACCAGATTTGTATGCAGGACTCCAAACGTGCTCAAACCAGCAACAACAAATTACACTTGTATGGTATCACTTCAGAAGGGCGTCCCAGGGCGCTGGAAAGTCAGGGGTTTTGGACCCAAGCTGGGAGTTGGGGTTAGAAGGGGAGGAAAGTGTGAGGGTGGGCATGGGAGGGTGGCCGAAGGCACACTTGAAAGGGAAGGTCTTCAGACAGGACTTGAAGGAGGTAAGAGAGAAGGTGAGGTGGAGGGATTGCGAGATAGAGTTCCAGAGGGTGGGGGCAGAGATGCTGAATGCCCCACTGTTAATGGTGGGGCTGGAAGTGCGAGGGACCTGAAGCTGGCTGGTGTCCGCCGAGCGAAGGGAGTGGACAGGCTGATATGGGGTTATGAGTTCAGAGAGATAGTGGGAGCAAGACCATGGAAGGTCTTGAAGGTAAGAACAAGGGTTTTGTACTCTATTCTCTGAGGAATGGGGAGCCAGTGAAGCTGGGCAAAAACAAGGGTGATAGGTTCCCAGCACCTGGTGCGAGAGAGGGCATGAGCAGCAGAGTTCTGAATAATCTGCAGCTTGTGGAAGGAAAAGTTGGGAAGTCCAGTGAGCAGGCAGTTGACCTAGGCAAGCCTGGAAGTAATGAAACCATGGATCAGGGTCTTGGCGACCTGCGGTGAGAAGCAGTGGCGGAGACTGGCAATGTTGCGGAGGTGTGGAATGGCGGAATGGGTCATGGCACGAATGTGGGATTTGAAGGATAGCTGAAGGTTGAAAAGGACACCAAAGTTTCGGATTGGTGAGGTGAAGAGTGCAACCTTGAATGGTGATAGTGTCAGCAGCTGAGGTGAGGAGGCGCTGCCGGGAGCCAAGCAGGAGGAAGTTCAACCAAGGTTCTATAGAATAGAGAAATGGGTGGAAAGTGGCAGGTGAAGTGTAATGCAGGGAAATGTGAGATGCTACGTTCAGGAAAAAGAATAGGGAATGAAAGTAAAGCCTGAAGGGTAAACACTCAGAAAGTGAAGGAGCAAATCACATAAATCACTAAATATGGGGCAGAGTGTACAGAATACCCTGATAAATAGGGGAACATTGAATATAAAAGTAGAGAAGTTGTGTTGCAATTGTATAGGCCATATTTGGAATATTGTGTTCAGTTTTGGACTCCTCATTACAGGGACAATATCTTAGAGAGAGCACAGTGCACATTCACTGGGATGATACCAGGTTCAAGGCAATAGAGGTGTTTAAGATCCTGAAGAGTAACAAGGTAGTTTGGGGGAGGGAGGGAAAGGAACAGAACTATATAGGCACCTGAGCAGTAAAAACACTAAAATATAATAATAATCCTTGCATTTGATATAGCGGTTTTCACGTGTTCTAGACGTCTCCAAGCGCTTCACAGAATATGCTGTAAAGTGAATTGACTGCTTATTTGTGGGTGAAACGCAGCAGCCAATTGCACACAGCAGTTTCCCACAAACAGTCGTGGATTAAAAATGACCAATTTATTATTGTTTTGTTTTTTGGAGGGATTATTATTAGGCTCTGTGTGGAGTAAGGAAACTTGCTCAAGGTTTCGCCCTCTGCCTGGAATTGAACCCAGGTGTCTCGCTTGCAAAGCGAGTGCTCTAACCACTGAGCTACAGGACTCCACGGGGAAATATGGGGGAAATAACACAAAAGTGGACTAATGAAAGAAAAAAGGGAGATTTAGAAAATCAGGGAAAATAGTACCATGGATCTTCCAGTGCAGGAAATTTATTTTGCTGTTTATCTATCCTTTCAAAAGAATTGATGGACTCTGCTGTTAACCATGATTTATGGCAGAGAATCCATATTTCACCACCATCCTCAGTGCAAAGAAATAATAATCCTTGCATTTGATATAGCACCTTATCACGTCTTCTAGACGTCTCAAACCGACCGCTTCACAGAATATACTGTAAAGTGAATTGAGTGTGGGCGAAAGTGGCAGCCAATTGCGCACAGCAGGGTCCCACAAACAATCATGGATTGAGTGACCAAATTATTTTAAATCGTTCTTTAACATAAAGGTAATCTGAATTGTGTATCAGTGACGGGTTGGCAGTCAAAGTGCGTTCTGTCTCCTGCGTAGGAGCTGTGAGGGGTGAGGCCTTCCTCTCGGCAGCTCGCAATTTAGTCAGTGAGCAGACGCGTTGTCACACAATGGAGTTCCAAGGCTCAGAATTCCTCACTAGTAGCGCCTATTCTAACAGTGGTACTCTGCCAAAAGCAGCCCGTGTTTCAAATCTGAGAACTTCCGATTCAATGCTGTGTGAGAGAGCCTTGCTGCGGGCACTGCCAGCTCCATCAGCACCCCGGGACCTTTCTACATCAGCCAGTAGTTGGATTAGTTAGTATGCACTGGCTGACACCCTGTGTAAATCCTGCCCCACAGTTAAGGATCATGAAATCATCTTTTTAACTGATTTATTTTGCTGTTTTATTTTCAATGAATCTCGCCGTTCAGTTTAACCCCCCCCCCCACCACCACCCACAATTTTACCTTTTTCCTTTGGAATTCCATCCCACATTCCCTTTGCCTCGCTCGTTCCCTTGCTTCCTTCGAGGCACGTCTCAACACCCTCTTCTTCACCCCTCCTACCCCTCCCTGCCCTCCACCCTCCCTAATCCCGAACCCCTGCTCGGGACCAAATCACGCGTACACTCATGAAACTAACATTACAGTACCTTAATGGTAACAATCCTTTCAATGGATATAGCGCCTTATTGTGTCATTGAGATGTCTCAAAGCGCTTCTCAGAATATACTGTAAAGTGGATTGACTGTATTTTGTGAGATTTTGTGGCAGCCAATTGCATGCAGCAAATGGTCTTCACCCGTCGCAGTCAGCCTCGCTGGTTTTGGTTGTTACATAGGCTGACTGTGAGTGACTCCATGCACACAGCTCCTGCCAAAGACAAACATGTTTCACCACTCATTTCCGAACAAAGCTTCCCAGGTCCTGGGAATGACCCCACTTCCTGATGCAATGTGTCTCTCAGCTCCTGTACCCAACCCTGGAATCTCCCTCTCCTCCCCCTTCCCAATTGTAGATTCCAGGTCCATGTTGCTATTGGGCTAATGCAGTTTTAGCCACTTCTTCAGAACTAGCGGCTAAACAAAAGCCTGAGGTTTGTGGATTATGGGGATCTCAGTTCCAATAATGTCCCGCCAGAGCATTAGCTTTGTGGCGCCACGACCAACAACAACAACTTGCATTTGTATAGTGCCCCTTACGCAGAGTAAAGTCCCAGGGCGCAGAGCGCACCAGTGTGAGCAGGTCTGATGGGCACCACTGAAGCTCAGGTTGCGGTTGCTCTGACTCCACCACTAGCTTAGATTAGTCAGTTGATAATTGGGACAATAACCGAGGCTCCGCCAGCAGGAGGCGGTGTTTGCCAGCGGCTGCCCACATATCAAATGCAAGGATTATTATATACAAGTCTGTGAAGAGTTGTTGTGAGCAGTGTGAGTAATGTCTGCTTTTCCCACTGAATCGCAGCATGGCGATGACGGGACAGGCGGCCTTCTACCCCTCCATGAGCAACCACACCAAGGAGCGCGTCACCATCACCAAGGTGACGCTGGAGAACTTCTACAGTAACTTGATCGCACAGCACGAGGAGCGTGAGATGAGGTAAGTAACCCCACACGTAGTGTCTGACCGCTTAATGCGCTTCAGAAGTCAGCTCCATGTCTCCACCCAATTGTCAAGCTGTGCTGCTCTTCAGAGGGAGGGAGAGGTGAGTTCTAGGCTAGGAGTGGATGTGGGGAAGAGGCCATTGCTTTTAGTGCACTTTTAAAACTATACAAAACTAAATTAACCTCAGCACAGAGGTGTGTAACAGAGGTGTATTGACTCCTGGGTGCTGGTTATAGTTTGTAGTTTGTGTTCAATCTGTCCCAGGGCCACACCAAACCAGTGAGAGGTGCAGTTATGCTCCCTCTGGTAGTGAGCGCTGGTAGAGCAGCACAGCACAGCAACCGACCAGGTCCCCGGTGACTGCCCGAACGAACACCTGGATCTCTGGTGCTGAGAGTTCAGAGTGTTTGAAATGTGAATTGCTGGAAGCAGCATTTCTTCATTTAACTCAACTTTATTTCTTTTTCTTTAGACAAAGAAAGTTAGAAAAAGTAATGGACGAAGAAGGGCTCGGAGATGACGAGGTTTGTCTTTAGACTTGGACTGACTGAGGTTTTCACACATGAAAAGTTAGACCCTGCAGCAAATGCACACTTCCCCTGTTACTGGCACGGAAACCAGTTGTCATCTGATCACGTCCCTGTCCAATACTAGACTTTTCTATGGTTGTGCATTTGCTTCCTAGAGGCCTCTTTGTAAATAGCATGCAATGTGTCAATGCAGTTCTGAGCTTTTACTCACAGCCGAGCAGCGTGGTGTATGTATTCAACCAGGGCCACTCCAAACAAGTGATGATGCGGTCTAGTTTGATAATAATAATCTTTGTATTTGATATAGCACCTTATCACGTCTTCTAGGCGTCCCAAAGCGTTTCCCAGGATATACTGTAAAATTGTTGTTTTATGGGTGAAATGCAGCAGCTAATTGCGCAGCAGTATCCCACAAACAGTCGTAGATTAAATGACCAAAATTTTTGAGGAATTATTATCCCCAGAAAAGCGATCCGCCAATCGACTAACAACCGGGTCCTACTTGCTGCAAGGTAAACAGAGGCGTGTGGAGTAAGGAAACTTGTCCAAAGTTTCGCCCTGCTGGGAATCAAACCCAGGTCCCCTCGCTTGCAAGGCGAGTGCTCTAACCACTAGGCTACAGGACTCCGCTTGATGGGTGTTGGATGCAGTCTGGCTTAATCTGTGTCTCCCTGACTATATACAATTATAATTTCAGAAGCGGATGAGACGGTCTCAGCACGCCAGGAAAGAGACTGAGTTCCTGCGACTGAAGAGGACCAGACTCGGACTGGATGATTTTGAATCTCTCAAGGTCATTGGTCGAGGTGCATTTGGGGAGGTAAGACAGAATGTGTAAAATATACTGACCACTGGAAAGAACTGTCTGATTCAGGGACATTAATAAGATCCACGCTGTCCTTATTGTCCTCATAAAAGTGTCTTCTACTCTGTCTGTTTGCTAAAGCCATCAGTAGGAGTTGCAAGAAATCTTAACAAAATGTTAAGATAATAATACTAATCATTACATTTGGGAAAGCATTCGGGAGGAATGTAAAGCGTTTCATAATGTAAAGTGCGGTGACTGTGTACTTTGTGGATGAACGCGGCAACCAATTAGCGCACAGCAATGTCCCACAAACAATTGTGTAGTGAATGAGCAAAATATGGGTAAAGTAAATCAAGAAGTGATTTTGTAATCATATCAAACTTTGGTGATGCCATGGATGATAGTGTGATGTTTTGATCTCTCTATTTCACAGATGCTAAGTTGTTAGAGAGAGGGCCCTGGAGCGTAGCTCGTTTCATTCCAGAACTAAGAGAATAGCTATTAGTGACTGAAACCCTAAGGTCTTCTGTTTTGGTTCATCAAGTACATTTGATGAGCGTAGTTTGAATGCATATTCTATTACAAACCTTTCTTCTGCAGGTGTCCTACATTTCTGTGTGTTAAACTCCTTCTGCCACGTTCCAGGCTTCTTCAAATCCTTCAAAAGCGGTTCCATCTGCAAAACTGGGTCCCTTTGATGAGGAGGAAGCCTCCAAATCAGTTTTAAAAATGATCAATACTGGCCCCATGTGGCACAACACAAAATAGCTCCAGCTGTACTTGACCCCATACACCATGAGTCAGTGCTTTCTAACAATTAGCCATTTGAGGTTCCAATTTAATATCATGGACCGGAAACCCGTGCAGTCATTTATTGCGGGGAGCAGTGTCATATGACTTTCTACATTAATAACTTCCACTGTATCACTCATTGCACTCGCTCTGCAACTTTCTTAAAGAAATGCTGTACAGATTTAAGCTGACGCCTCAAGTTCTCTGCTGCTTCCAGGTGCGGCTCGTACAGAAAAAAGACACAGGGCACATCTACGCCATGAAGATCCTGCGCAAGTCAGACATGCTGGAGAAAGAGCAGGTACGAGGAGCGGTAACTGCTGCAGATTGACCGTCTGATCTTATAACAACAATAATCCTTGCATTTGATGTAGCGCCTTATCACGTCTTTGAGATGTCTCAAAGCGGTTCACAGGATATACTGTAAAGTGAATTGGCTGTATTTTGCGGGCGAATCTTGTCCCAGTGAATGTGTTGGTGTGCGTGAATGCACTTCTGGTCTTCAGGTGACGGTAGGATTGGGTCCGGATGTGAAGGCTGGTCAACGCTTATAGGACTGGTGCGCGAGGCGGGGCTGATTGGAACAACAAACTTCCTCCCACAGACCAGGAGGAAAACGTGTCCTTCAACAACTCTTACCGTGGTTTTCATCTCTTCCATCCATAGGTTGGCCACATCCGGGCAGAGCGAGACATCCTGGTGGAAGCAGACAGCCAGTGGGTGGTGAAGATGTTCTACAGCTTCCAAGACAAGCTGAACCTGTACTTGATCATGGAGTTCCTGCCAGGAGGTCAGTAGGGCTGAGGCTCGTGCAGTGCTTGCTCCTCACAGCTGTCCTTCCTATCCCACATCTGAGCTAATATAGCAGGCGGACCACAATGTGGATTTTATAGCCTGTGACGGGTAACTTTCTGTATCTGGATATCTTCCCCTTTCAGGCACCAAAGTCAACACCCAGCACTTCCAGCTCAGCTACAGTACAGGTTAGACCTAGAATAAAGCTCCCTGTACAACAACAATAACAACAAATTACATTTGTATAATGCTTTTCACTGCGAGAGGACATCCCAAGACGCTGGACAGTCAAGGATTTAGACCCGAGCTGGGGGTAGGGGATTAGGATGGGTGGAGGGTAGGTGGGGGTAGGAGGGTGACCAAAGCCGTGGGGAAAGAGGAAGGTCTTCAGACGTGCCTTGAATGAGGCAAAGGATGGAGCAAGGTGAAGGGACTGTTGGGATGGAGTTCCAAAGGGTGGGGCAGAAAGGCTGAAAACCCCATTGCCGATGGTGGGCCAGGCCGGGTGGGGGACATGGAGCAGGCCTGAGCCTGTTGAGAGGAGGGAGCAGTCAGGTCTGTACGGAGTTAGCAGGTCACAGAGGTAGGAAGCAAAAAGGCCATGGAGAGCTTTAAGAAAACAGGTGGGAATCAGGAGGAGACATTTTTCCAACCAGCACTCCCAGGTCAGCCACAGCGCTAGCTATATAGTTGAGCTCCATCGTTCTCTCCACGTTGTCCCATCCAGCACTTGCATTAAAGGAGCCAGGGGCTGGGCAGGTGCCAGGAGTGTTGATGCTGGGGATTCCCAAGAGTTATTACCTAGTGACGTGTGGTTGATGAGATGCTGCTGTGTGACTGCAGGTGACATGATGACGCTACTGATGAAGAAGGACACACTGAGTGAGGAGGAGACGCAGTTCTACATCGCAGAGACTGTGCTAGCCATCGACTCCATCCACCAGATGAGCTTCATTCACAGGGACATCAAACCAGACAACCTGCTCCTGGACAGCAAGGTTAGTGCTGCTTAATGGTTCCACGCAGCTCTCTCCCACCTGTGTCTGTACAGAGCTGGCCTACCTGTGTCTGTGCAGAGCTGGCCTACCTGTGTCTGTGCAGCTCTGTTCACCTGTGTCTGTGCAGCTCTGTTCCACCTGTGTCCATACAGCCCTGTCTTCCCCTCTTGTGTGTGCTTCTTGCAGCTGCCCTCTCGCCCAATAATATTGAACACATTTGTTTCTGACATGTGCCGCCTTGTTTTCAGGGCCACGTGAAGCTGTCTGATTTTGGATTGTGCACGGGTCTAAAGAAAGCTCACAGGACTGAGTTCTACCGCAACCTGAGTCACAGCCTGCCCAGCGACTTCAGTAAGTTCCTGTTTAATTAGCCTCTAACCTGTGAGGCTGCTGCATACATGTGGCAGCTCCCTCCCTAATGATGGCCCTCTGGACCTGAAAGGTGCTATATTAATGTAACTTGTTGTTGAAGGTTGTGAAGAAGACCTGTTGCTGGAATCAATTCATTGTTAATAAGGCCTTTTGTGGGGCATTGACATGTGTGCCGGTCGCCTACATAATACGGTCATTACACTTCACAGTAAATTCTGTTTAGTGAAGCGCTTTGAGACCTCCTCCCGACATGAAAAGCCCTGTATCAAATATACAGATTTTATTATTACTGTTTTATATACAGGCTTTGCCCCTGACTTTTGTTTAATGCTGTACCTGCTGTTCAGCTGATATGTGCCTGGGAGCAGGCACACAGAGCAGATTAGTTAACGCACTACGGTTTGCGTGCTTGGAGCTGTTGTGATCTGTGAACTAAACAGTGGCTCCATTTCAGCGTTTCAGAACATGAACTCCAAGCGGAAAGCAGAGACATGGAAAAGGAATCGACGGCAGCTGGTGAGTGTGAAGGGAAGTGGACCTGAGGGCGGTCTGCGTATCACAGCAGGAGCTTGAGTGCCAAGTATGTGAGCAGTTGCTTACAAGCTGTGACAGTGGTGACCCACTACTTTCTCTTTTGTAATGTGGGTTAAGTGCCTCTGCAAATAGATTCCAAGAAACTGACTCTTACATTGACCCCTGCATCCATACGTCCACTTTCCAATCGCTGCATGCATGCAGAATTACTGAGCCAAAGATGGTCACTTGGACAGGCAATCGCGGGTGTAGTGACCTCCTATGTGTGCAATTGGATTTATTTTACAATGGTAGCACCAATTATTCCTTACCCACAGTGAAGGTGGTCCCAATCAGTGCAATAAACATCTCTCTGCTGTAATCTGAAAAGGACTATGTCAGGTCACTCCTTAACCTTATCAACTCTAGTGAAAAAAGCCCCAACTGCCAAAGGCTCTCTTTGCAACTGAATTTCTCCAGCTCCTGGTAATATCCTAGTGAACCTTTTCCATTGCTTGTGTATCATTTTCTATAATGAGATGATCAAAACTTCAAACATTACTCTAACACGTGGCTTCTGATCGTTCACTTCTGGGTATTTTACAGGCTTTCTCAACTGTGGGGACGCCCGATTACATTGCACCTGAAGTCTTCATGCAGACTGGTTACAACAAACTCTGCGATTGGTGGTCACTGGGGGTTATCATGTATGAGATGTTAATTGGTGAGTATACCAAGGCTGTCCACTGTATCACCAGCAGCCAGTCTGTAGTGCACTGAGACGTCTGCAATGCACATCACCTTTGACAACAGCCACTGCTGATTCTCTCTGGGCATCACTCCATTCCACGTTTCACTCCCAAAATACAGTCAATCCACTTTGCAGTATATTCTGTGAAGCGCTTTGAGACGTCTTAACGGTGTGATAAGGCACTATATCACATGCGAGGATTATTATTATTCCCCCACCCTGACACAAACGCTGTGTGCTGGTTCCATTCATCCCTCATTGCAGAAAATGGAAACTCATTGCAGCATCTGCAGCAAGCCTTGGTATAATGAGAGCACATGGAGTAGCCCGAACTCTACAGTGACTGAGCTCTCAGAGAGGGCTTGTGGGGATGCCCTCCAGCCTTGTCTCTTAGAGAGCTCGGTGAGCGAGCTTTCATCTATTCTGCCCCTGCTCTCTGGAACTCCGTCCGGGAGACCCTCCGCCTTGACTCCTTCCCTGCCCACCTTGAAAGCCTAAATATATCTGTTCGGTTGAGCTCTCAGTCACCTTTCTCACCTCGCACTCTGAATATTGTCACAGCTGCTCATCAGGTCTGGGATTGTACCCACTCCTCTGCAATCAGTTGCGGTTCTACTCACAGTCAGGGTGCTGAACTTTTCTCCCCACTGCAGGTTATCCCCCCTTCTGTTCTGAGACCCCTCAAGAAACATACAAGAAAGTGATGAATTGGAGGGAGACCCTCATCTTCCCACCGGAGGTTCCCATTTCAGAGAAAGCGAAGGACCTCATCCTGAGGTAAGATTGGGGCTGCAGACAGACCTGTGTTCTGGCTATCGGCTCCTCACGCTACCTTGAGGACTGATTCTGGCGGCTTAATTATATCCAGCCCTTTACACTGGAGGATTACGAGTTCTCACATAATCACCTTATTCCCAGCGTATGTGTCTACATTCGAGTCCAATCTCACCCAGACCCCATTGCTAACAGAGTAGCTAGGGCAGCCTGTGGACACAGGGCAGCACACTGGGACCCTGTCCTCTACTGTCTGACCTGGGGGGGGTGGGGGTCTCCTGTGATCCTGCTCACCGCGATCATCTCTTTATACACGGGTTCCAATGGAGAAGATGGTCATGGGGAGGAGACGGACAGTCAGGGTAAGGCAGAGGTTCAAGTCCACATAAGGAGCCACAGTTCTAATGCCATGCATTGCATTGTCAGAGGTGCCTTCCTTCAGATGAAATGTCAAGTCAAGGCCACTCCTACCTGTTAAGATGGATGTAAAAGATGCTGCGACACCAGTTGAAAAGAAAAGGGAGTTTTTCCTGCCGTTCTGGCCAACAGTCCAACAAATCTGGTCATTCACTTCATGGCTGTACGTGGGTCTTGACTGTATGCAAATTGGTTGTTGCATTTGTCCATACATGTGCAGTCAGTACACTTGACAGAAATTCCTTGTGAAATTTTTGAAATGTGTCAACATTATATAGGCGTCAAATGCAAAGACTGTTTTAACGGTGCAGGGGCCGTGCCTGGTGCTTTGTACACTCACCTCTGAGTGTCACCCTCAGGTTCTGCTGCGAGTCCGAGACCAGAATTGGCGCCAACGGTGTGGAGGACATCAAAAGCAACCCATTCTTTGAAGCAGTTGACTGGGAGCATATCAGGTAGGGGCCGGCAACTGGGACACATCAGGGAGGAGATGAAGCACGTTGAGGGAGTGGTCCTCTGAGCCTCAGATGTGGAGGACTCTGCACAGCTGCGCTCCACCTCGCTATGTTCCTCTATGTATCTGGCACGTTTACGGTGCCCATTCCTGACCCACTCTCCTCTCTGCAGGGAGAGACCGGCTGCCATCTCGATTGAAATAAAGAGCATCGATGACACCTCCAATTTTGATGAGTTCCCCGATTCCGACATCCTGCAGCCAGGTTGGTGGCCACGCCAGAGACGGCAGCTGTGCGGCTCTGACCCCGTCCCTCTTCCCCGGACCCCGTCCCTCTTCCCCGGACCCCGTCCCTCTTCCCCGGACCCCGTCCCTCTTCCCCGGACCCCGTCCCTCTTCCCCGGACCCCGTCCCTTCCCCGGACCCCGTCCCTCTTCCCCGGACCCCGTCCCTCTTCCCCGGACCCCGTCCCTCTTCCCCGGAACCCGCCTCTCCTCTCTGGACCCCGCCCCTCCCCCTTCTTGCTCGTTTCCCAGCCAATTTCATTATTCGGCAGCAATTAGTTCCTAAACCCAACTCAAAGCATAATTATTAGGGTCAGTGCTTCTGTGCCCTGTGTTAGAAATACGGAGCAGAACTGAGGACGGTGCAGCTGATTTTTTTTCCCACATTGTCCAGGAAGAGCTTTGGTCAGTGCTATCATCTCACAGTGTGACTCGTATGCTCTGTACAGCATCACGGTATCACATACAGTGCACTTGCTGTGTACAATTGACTGCTCCGTTTCACCCACAAAATACACAGCGAATCCACTTCACAGTATAACTTTGAGAAGTCTCAATGGATTAATTATGTGCTATATGAAATCCAGGATTATTACCTGATGTTGCGACTTTTGTTTATTCTCCTGCAGGAGCGGCACAGGCGGGACTGGAGAGCAGTGGCAAGAAGTGCCTGTCCTCTAAGACAGGTAACTGTTGCTTTTCCTTCTCACAAATCTATAGCTGTGCTAATTGGGAATGGACTTGGCTAAGTTGCGAGTACACTTGTTCTGGTCGGAAGCCTAGAGGTTCAAACCCCACGTTTGACACTTCAGCCCTTAGTCGTAGTCTAGACTGACACTCCAGCACACGACTGGGGGAACACTGCGTTGTAGAAGATGTCGTCCTTTGGGTTGAGATATAAACCGAGGTACCTTCTGCCTACGTGCCAGTTTTGGAAAAAAGGGAGTTTATTCCAATGTCTTGGCCAACAGTCCTCGAGATAAATTGATCACTCGCTTCAGGGTTGTTTATGGGATTTGCCCACCAAATATACAGTCAGCTCACTTATCAGTATATCCTGTGAAGCGCTTTGAGACGTCTCAACAACATGGTAAGGCGCTGTATCAAATGCAGGATTTTTATTATTGTTGTTATCTTGCTGTTTGTAAAATGCCTCTTAAATGTGTCTACGGGTGGAATCACTACAATTCCCATTGTATATAACTTACTGCAATCATGTGACACATCCAAGGGTCCTGCCCTTGAGCACTGTGACCTGGGGCCAGAGTCACACGAGCAGAGAGGAGGGTGAAGGGCAGTGTAAATGTGTTATCACAGCAGGACAATCGAGATAAGATTGTCCCGAATTCCTGGAGTCTCTGGGTTTATGCTGTGCCTGAATTGTGTGGAGCTAAATTGTTCCTTTCTCTCTGCTTCTCCGCCAGTTGCAGTGAGTAACCATCCTGAGACCGACTACAAGAACAAAGACTGGGTTTTCATCAACTACACCTACAAGCGGTTTGAGGGGCTGACTGCCCGCGGAGCCATCCCCTCCTACATGAAATCAGGGAAGTGATGGAGCCGGGACTAGGGCTCACCTCACTGCTTTAGTGCCTATTTCTTCCACAGAAGCACATTGAAAGGTCTTTGGTATTTATTAGCCACTTCTGCCCTGGATAGTGACTGACTGTGCGAAAGACACAAATGACTCGAGATTTTTCCAGTAATACAAGCTGCTATCTCTCTCACTGAGTGGTTCGAAGCAGTGTTGGGTTCAAGCACCAGGGATGTTCTCCTTACGAGGAGCTGATGGATTCTGACTGTCTCGGATCACTCCTCACTCGTCTGCATGGACCTGCACTGCCAGACAAGATGTGTGTTAATTCCTCGCATTCCCACTGTAGGAGCAGTCTGGCCCTTTTCAACAATGCAGTCAATCAGGCTCCTATATCCGGCTCCTCTCCGTGCTTTTCCCAGTCAGAGGGCCGTGTGCTCTTTTTGCCATTTACTTTTCCGAGGAATCTTGATGTATATAGCAAACACAAATACAAAATACTTTTGATTTGTGTCAGTTTCCCACCCGCAGTGAGAGAGATAGACAATTGGGGCAGACGTGGGTGTAATAATCAGGTTCACAATTCCTCTCATGATTAAAGGTTGGTTTAATCAGCTCTCAGTGTACGGCTATGAAATGCCGCATTACAAATATTAGCTTTAGTATTGAGGCTGTCAGAGCCAACTGCCAGTGATTGCATACGTCTGCGTCATGTAAACATCATGGTACTGCTCTTATCATGTGTGTATCTGTGTTCGATCTGATATTATTTGGGTGAGATTTGTAATGAGGCTGAATGCTGCTTTCACCCTTCATCTAACCACACGCAGTTTTAATTCACAGCTTTTCCAGCAACATTGCAGCCATTTTTTTCCGGATCTGTAAATATCAACTGTCTATTTGTATAAAAGAGTGTCAATCTCTGTCTCTCCCTCTCCTGTATAATACTACCTGACACTCAAACACTGGAGCTGCCAGGTATAAACAGTGCTTCCCCCAAACACAGAGACTGAGCACTGACTGTGGCGGTGGAGGGCCTAGGACATGGGGAGGCTACAGAAGCTGGGGAGAAGTACTGGGACAGGAGTTCACAGGCTGCGGCTCAGAGAAGAGAGGTGCTGGAGGTGGCAGTGAGGGATGATAATAATGATTTGCATTTGATATAGCGCCTCATCACGTCTTTGAGACGTCTTAAAGCGTTTCACAGAATATGCTGTAAAGTGGTGTGTGCGTACAGGTGCACAACTAACCATTCCTGGAGCGACGCAGTCACCCTGTATAATAATTCTCGTTTTAATTTTGTCTTTAGCATTTTCATTGAAAAGCTCTGTGTTCTGGTGGAAGTGTATAATCAGTGTCAAAGTGAAGTCTTTCACCTGTTCGTGGTGCTGGTCAGGCCACGGTAGCTGCAGATGCAACAGTGCCTCCTGTCAACTGTAGCTGCTAATACACACTTTCCAGGTGCAGCGTTTTCTCATGCTGAGAACTCAGTGTGTTCCCTCCCTTTAAAGAGAATTTTCTTTCTGCTGGTCTCAGTCCAAAACCCAGGATGGCAGAACACCCCACTTTTATATCCGAAATGCAAATGCTGGAATCTTACGTCAGTTGCACTTTTTTTCAGTGTAATTTTATGAATGAAAGTTAATAAATATTAGAAATTAGTAACAAGCAGTCTCAGTCTATGAAAGGAAGGGGATGAGGCTCACATTGCAAACTGCCAGGCAGGTTGCCTATGTGATTTGCTCTTTCATCTCTTGAGAGATTTACATCAATGCTGCGATGGTCTGGTTGCTGTTAGTGTCACTGCAATCGCTTGCGGGAAGAGAGCACAGCGAGATCACCATCCCCAGAGTTTTAGCAAGGCTTTGACAACTGCATTCCTGAACTTGGATGTTAAGTGTGAAAGCTGACTGTGAAGCTAGCACCTCACTGTCTGACCTCACAGGGTCAGTCAATGCTTTTGGCCTGAGCTTTAATCATGAGACGTTCGGGGGTGACTGAAGCCTTAGCCAGCAGCTATCTACTCAGATAGTAATTTTACTGCATAGATACAGAGGAGAGAACCTGCTCAGCAATTTGGGGGCACGATAGACACCCAGCAGGCACAGTCCTCACCATTGTATGGGCACTACACTGTGAGCTCCAGGTTGGACAGTGTGGTGGGCAAAACCTGTTGAGGCAGCTGTTGAAAGCTTGAGACGACTGGAATTTGCTGCTTCTGTTTTTCCTCAATCAGGAGATGTCCTGTGCCTTATCTCAGTCTCTGGTCCTTGCACTGCCCAAACAGCTCTGGCTCTAGCTCTGTCAGTGGAGATGGACTGTTGCAGCTGATGATAGACTTCTCTCATCTTCTGTTCGGAGGCTGCACATTCCAGTGTAAACATTGGGGAGTTGAGGTGCTCCTGTGTCTCATCCCCACACAGCCCAGTATTTTATGTATTATAAACCTTTTTCTTATAGTCAACTCTTTTGAACTTTCTATGGAGGTTTTTGTTTACATTGTTTGGGAGCAACTTCCTGCACCTTAAGTGAATAAATCTCTCTGTGAATGTCTGTTTCCGGCTCTCTTCAACCATTGTGTGAAGCTGCTTTTCCATCTCATTTACAGACAGACAGGAGTTTTTAATACAACTAATAAAGTAACACGTTACACATCTGCAGCACTGCACCCACACAGCAAAAGGCTTTGTAAAGCTTGCTAGATTGAGGCCTGTGCACAAAGTGGCAAGAGGACGGGAAGCAGAACGTTCCAGGACAGAAACAACAATAACAACTTGCATTTATATAGCTCTCTTCACCCGGGGCAGCATCCCGGAGCGCTTTACTGTGGCGGAGTCTGACAACGAGCCGGGGGGAGAGGGAGGAGGGAGGTGTCCGTAAGCACAATCAAAAAACTGGCCATTAGACCAGTGAGTCTACATTGTTATTCCTATCCATGTTAATCTAATCCCACTCTTATGATCGCTCCCTATAACCTTTATTCCTCTTCGTCAAGTATCTATCCGATTCCATTTTAAAAGAATTCATTGCTGATGATTTGGGACAGGAAATTCCAAATTCCATCCAACTTCTGTTTAGAAACATTTTGTCCTAACAATAATAATAATCCTTGCATTTGATATCGCGCCTTATCACATCTTCTGGACTTCTCAAAGCGCTTCACAGAACATGCTGTAAAGTGAATTGACTATATCTTGTGGGTGAATGTGGCCGCCAATTGTGCACAGCAGCGTCCCACAAACAGTCATGGACTGAGTGACCAAATTATTTATTAATTTTTTTTTTGAAGGGACTGAATTGCGATCTACTAATCGACTAATATTTACTGCTAGATAACTAGAGGTGTGAGGGGTAAGGAAACTTGCCTAAGGTTTTGCCCTGCCCAGGAATCAGACCCAGGTCCTCTTCCCATTGGAAAAAAAAAGCCTAAACGTCTTAATTCTCTTCATAACAAACCTCTCATTCCTGGTGATATTCTAGTGAATCTGCACTGCACCTTTTCCATCCTTTAAAGATGCCATCCTTGGGGAGCTTTTACAAGGTCTAACTCCATGATGCATGATATAGATTTATCTACACCATCTTTATTACATTTTTGGCAATTTCTGTAAAATAGAAGTGTAGCATTCCTTTTAGAAGATTCCATTTCAAATGTGTGACTGGTGTGTATATAATAATCCTTGCATTTGATATAACGCCTTATCACGTATTCAATATGTCTCAAAGTGCTTCACAAAATAAAGTGAATTACAATAATAATAATAATGATAATAATCCTTGCATTTGATATAGCGCTTTTCATGTCTTCGAGACGTCTCAAAGCGCTTCACAGAATATACTGTGAAGTGCATTGATTATATTTGTGGGTGAAACGCGGCAGCCAATTGCGCACAGCAGTGTCCCACAAACAGTCATGGATTGAAGTGACCAATTTATTATCGTTTTTTTTTCTTGAGGGATTATTATCAGGTGTGTGGAGTAAGGAAACTTGCCCAAGGTTCCACCCTGCCAGGTCTCTTGCTTGCGAGGCGAGTGTTCTATTGACTATTTTGTGGGCAAGCTGTGTCCCACAAACAGTCGTGGATTGAGTGACCAAATTATATTTTTAATTTTTTTTAACCAGGTTCCTACTTACTGCTAGGTAAAAAGAGGCGTATGGAATAAGGAAACTTGCCTAATGTTTCGCTCCGCCTGAGAGGCGACTGCTCTAACCACTAAGCTACAGGACTCCACATATGGGAAGAAAGCCTATCAGCAGTGATTTGATCCATCTGCCACTTTACTTGACGCAGGCGATGTGCAGATTCACAAGTAAAAATATTAATAATCTAGTATTTGATTTAGCGCCTCATCACGTTGATACATCTCAAAACGCTTTACAGAATATATTGCAAAGTGGATTGACTCTATTTTGTGGCTGAAATGCGTCAGCTAATTGTGTACAGCAATGTCCCACAAACAGTCATGAATTGAGTGATCATTACCTCTAGAAAGTGATCTGCCAATCGACTAAAAATCGGGTTCCTACTTAACTCCAGGTAGCCAGGTGTTTGGAGTAAGGAAACGTGCCTCGGGTTTCGCCTCTCACGGGAATCGAACCCGGGTCCTCTCGCGAGGCGAGTGTGCTTACCACTGTGCTACACCACTACATAGACAACGCACGTGCACACTCAAATTCAGTTCACGTCCACACACACACACATGCGCGCACACACTTGCTCTCCTGCAGAGCTGCACTGCTTCCAATAAGATGAGGTGTGTGGCGAATTGCTGCGCAGTTACTGGCAGTTACGTGGATGCTGCACGGTCCAGTGTTTGGGAATGTCACGCCTGCCTGTTTATTTGCAGTTATTTAAAGTTCAGAGTTTGCCCTCTAGAATGTCCGATCGCCGGCAGTCCCCACGGGCTCGGGTCCAGACTGCGATGGACAGATCACTCGCGGAGACTGTGGGCCGCAGCGCGTGCCGGGGGAGACGCGCAGAATATCCAGCTCGTCCACCTGCGGGGGGAGGCACGTGATCCCGTACTGGTCTCGGGGCACATCAGCCGCCGCCGCTGCCAGGTTGGTGATGGATTTGCTCCGGACACACTGGAAGTCCACGTGCCGGCTCTTCCCCTCCTCCTTCTCCCAGGACGTGTGGATGAACGGGCGCTGGACATAGTTGTAGATGACCTCGGAGCGGCCTCCTGGACGCGTTTTCACTTTCTCCTTACACGTGGGGTAACCTAGGCAGAGAGAGAGAGAGTCTTGGTAATGTGTGGGGTAGCGTCTTGGTGTGTTCGATTCCCACACAAAACTCCGGTCTCTGGGTCGGGAGGTCGTGGGTTCAAGATCCGTGTCAGGATTTGAGCTCAACTTAAGCTAAAACTCCCAACAACAACAACTTGCATTTATATAGCGCACTTCACGCGGGATAGCGTCCTGGAGCGCTCCTGTGTAGGACTGGGGCATGTGCTGCCAACACTCACGGTCAGAGAGAACTTGCACTCAAAACTCCTGCTCACACTGTTCCCTCCTACCTTCAATTCCAATGCGAATGTTCTTCAGCCCACGATCTCTCAGCACCGCCTTTGCTACATCCCGGTTCTCAATGTATTTAAAGAATTTGTACAATCTGGTGCTATAAATAACTGAGAAGTGAGGGGGCAGCGTTAGACATCTTAATACAGTAATGCTAATCCTTGCGTTTCGGCCTTTCACATCATCGAGACATCTTAAAGCGCTGCACAGTATTTACTGTAAAGTGGTTTGACTGTATTTTGTGGGCAAACCCGGCAGTCAGTTTTGTGCACAGCGACGTCCCACAAATAGCCATGGCGAGAGTGACTAATTTAATTTGGGGGATTGTTGGCCTGGACACCAGGAGAGTTTTCGAATGGGTTCTTTAACGTTCACCTGAACAGGAAGACGAGACCTTGGTTTAACATCTCTTCCGCTACCCTGCCTAATGCTTTATCCCTGAGCCGACGGTATTCCCTGCGCTGTGTGACTTGGACAGAGAAGAACTTAGACACTTCACTGCAGCTCACACTCTGCGGGAAGAGATCTCCACTCAGCACCTGCTTTTGAAGGACCAGAATTGGGGAATCCTCGCTTTTGAGCGACCATCTGCCACAGCACAGCTTCAAACCACCTGCACGGACTGACACACTGATTAACTCCTTACTGTATAAGCGCGCTCTCTCTCCCTCTCCCATCCTCACTCTGCGACGCTCTCTTACTCTGTGAATACTCCTCTCCCATTTGGGGCGGATGCTCCTCGTCCCAGTCCACGGTGTCCTCCTCGGTCAGCACCACAATGTGACACTCGCGCTCCCCTTTCTGGGCACTGGTCACCATCAGGGGCAGCAGCACCTCCTCCAACGTGCTCTGGAACTGCTGCCTGGCTCCCTCGTTGGACAACTCATGCAGCAGAGCACCTGGGAGGAATGAGCAGGCGCAGTGAGACCAGAGTAAACTCACACCTGGTCTCCAACACATTCACACCGGCACTGTCACCCAATGACACTTGGACTGTTACACACTCACGCCTCGCTTTATACTGTACTTACTGAGGTCTCGACAATGGATGGTGTTGTGATTGAAATTGATGCAGAGGTAATCACACGCATCCCGCAGCTCAGGGATCTGGGTCCCGTCGGGGCACTGGATGATACCACTGGTGTAATACTCCTGTGATGGCAGAGGCACAGTTACACAACACATCTAGAGTTTGCGCAGAAATTCTGGTGGACAGAGAGGGGGAGACGGATCTGCAGAATGAAATGACAAAGCTGAGCTGACCCAAAATCCACTGAATCACAAGAGTCATGTTCAGTCATTGGCTCAGTGTCTGGGAGTTCGTCATGATGACTTGTACAGTCCTTAGAAAATGGGTCAATTTGGGTCAGGGGAAAACCTCTCCAGTGGCTGGAGTCACATGTAGTGAACACATGAGTGTTGTTGTGGAAGGACAACAACAACAACAAGATTCCATTTATAAAGCGCCTTTCACGTCAGGAGGACGTCCCAAGGCACTGCACAGTTGGGTCATGACCCGAGCATTGGGGGGAAATGGTCAGGGTGAGGGGAGGGAAGGGAGGGAGCGAGGAGGGGGGAAATGGTCAGGGTGAGGGGAGGGAAGGGAGGGAGCGAGGAGGGGGAAGAGAGTCGAGAGGGGAGCTGAAGGCACGGTCAAAGAGAAAGGTTTTGAGACCGGCCTTGAAGGAGGAAAGGGAGGAAGCGGCGAAGGCACTGGGGGATGGAGTTCCAGAGCCTGGGGGCTGAGAGGCTGAAGGCCCGACCACCGATGGTAGGGTGGTTGGGGCGGGGGACGTAGAGCAGACCGGAGCCAGAGGAACGGAGGGTACGGGCAGATAGGTAGGGGGATAGTAGGTTGGAGAGGTAGGAGGGAGCAAGGCCGTGAATGGCCTTGTAGGTGAGGATGAGGATCTTGAAATCAATCCTCTGGGGGATGGGGAGCCAGTGGAGGCGAGCGAGGGTGGGAGTGATGTGGTGCCGAGGCCTGGTGCGGGACAGTGCACGAGCTGCAGAGTTCTGAATGACCTGCAGT